CAGACACCTGTCTTTCAAACCAAGACATTCTTCCACTTTCTCTCCTCAACATATGTGTTCCATATTTTTTCTAAATCTTTCCACTGAGAATGTGTATCTTCTGTTTAAAAACTATCCTCTGACTTAGGAATCCAGTAACAGTCCCTGTTTTACTCCACAAAACTGCTGAATGCCCATGCCTGCTTCTGTCTTTAAAGGAGAGACTCTCTGATGTACTTTCCAAAAATGAGGTGGCAATATGCATATAAAAGCTGGGAAGGTGCATGGGTAATGGTGCAGAGGGTCCATGTAAAGAACACAGACAGATTTCTTCTGAATTCTCTTACATTCTCCAGAAAGGCACTGATTGTTTATTCATAGATGTTTGCCAGCATCATTATCAGAATGTAAACACCCCTCACAGTGCTCTCAGCAAAGGTATAGAAAAGAATGTGTTAGCAAGAATGCTTTCCTGCTAAGACACTTCAGAGTTCTTAAAGGATTTTCTTGATTTTCTTTGCGGTGTGTAGGTGAAGAGAACACAGACAAGTATGTAAAACTTTATCCTGTGATATCATCACTTTGCAAGGGAGGAAATGTGTTTAATTACAGAGTTTTCATCAGCACTTGCCATCTGGCCTTTTTGGTTTTGGGATAGTTTCAGAGAAAGATAATAAAGAGGATTTCTGAAGCTTCTACAAGTCAGAACTGATGGTCATGGCAGCACTACGTAATTTTCCTGTCTCAGCCGAAGTGATGCAGACATTCATAAACAATCACTTATTGCGAGTGTTCTTCTTGGCTTCTAAGCAGTTCCTGTGAAATGCAGGACATTGAAGAAGGTGGACTCTGCTACACAAAGAGAATAAGGTGGCATGGTTGTGGTTTGCAAGCTGATGCACACAGTTGCCAATCTCAGCTATCTGTGAGCATGCACATTGCTAAATAAACTCCACATGTCTCACGAATTTGTTCCCCTTTCATGTTTCAGACATTTAAAGCGAAAAATCATTCTGCATGCCTCTCCACAAAGCAGCAATTTATCACGTATTATTTATGCTGTGTTGTCCACCCTAATATTAAAGCGATCACACATAATCCCACAGGTGCCTACCTAATGAGCACTGAATTCCGAACATGTATTATCTGCATGAACTATGCCTGGTTTTCCTAGCAAATGGAGAGCATGCCACACTTTAGAAGAAAATGCCTCTTAACAGAAGCAGCCAAAGGCAGTGACAGACTAACCTGATGACAACAGATCTAACACTGTATTATTTCAAAAGACAGCATAACAAGTGAGATTGCTTGATTCAATAGGCTTATCACTGTTACAGGCAGTCCAAATCCCAGTTCATGTGGAAAGAGTTTACTACTGGTATTCTCTGATGGCTATTAGGGAGGCTGAATTAGAGGAGTTGGGTGGGGAAAAAAGGTTTTACATTAGTTCTTGTCTCACTAAACCTTGACAATAACACTGTTTATCACAATTAGTGAGCAATGACAGACAAGGAATGACAAACAATTGCCACAAATTTCCAGCCTTATTTACTGCAAGAAAAAACAGAACAAGGCCTTAATGCATACAGACACTAATATATTCTTTTCTTTTTGTCCAAGAATCTTCATTCCAGAGCAGCAGCTCTGCCACCACCAAGCAGCAAGGATGGCGTGCTGTAGTGTTGACATGGATCTGGTAGTATGGAGCTGGTACTGGAGCTGCTTAGGAGCTATGTGAGTGCACAGTCATTCCACCCTTCATGCTGATATTGCCCATGGTGAAACGGGCAGGTTAACACAGAGAAACAGCAGCATGTTCTACAGCAGGTGCCTGTACTACTGCAACAGAAAGCTGTTTCTCCTCACGATTCAGCCTATTTGGTTGGAATCTGGTCAGAGACAATAGAAGCAGACACCTGAGGAGAACAGCTTGTAGGGTCCCAGCCCTACAGGCTTGTCTGGTGGCTGCTGCTTATGCTTGCAAACAGCTTCATCTGAAACAGCCTCTGGGAGCAAAAGCTGTGCCAGAGGGCCAGTCTTGCCCAGCATTCAACATAAAGAACACAGAGGAACTGCACCTCAGCAGTGCTAGATGTAGACCAATCCTGAAGCATGAGTCTGTCTGGGAGCCAGTGATGCTGTGGTTAACAATACTGTCTTAGACTCCAGTGAGAAGAAATAGAGAGCAGCAGGATGCCTTGCAGAAAAAAAGATAAGAAATTTGCACTATAAAGACTACTCTCCAAATCTCCTGCCTTACAGTAAAGTAAAATTAAAGCTTCTCCCTTCTGGGATGTTCCTGGGCAGTTAGCAAACACACGCTATTCCTAGCATGGAGAAAGCATCCAGATAAGTCTTATAATGCCATTACAGTTAAGGGGAAGAGAATGATGCTATGTTGCCTGACATCAGATTTCCCTAGCTCCTATCCTGTGACCTTGCATCATGTGGTGGTACTTTAATGTTTTGAAAAGAAAACCTTCCTGGACTTTTTCCAGCTCAGGCTATTTCAGTTTCTAAAAATGATGGCTGAGGGGGAATCTAACTGGCTTCTAATAGTTATTGACTTGCTTGCTCCCATTTTTGTCAGAATCTGAAAAAAAGGACTGCCTAGAAGCATAAAGTCCACAAACAGAGATGGATAGTCCCGTCAGCAACGCATGCAAAAATACAAGTACTATGTATTCCTATGTTATCCACTTGGAAGTCATTCTCAAAGGAGTTAGGCTAAGGTGGTGACCTCGTGGAATATAGAAGCAAATACACTCACACGATGTAGTTTTTCAAGGAATTTTGGTATTTGTGCTGTTATTAAGACAGCCACCTGTGTTTGAGACATAACAGAGAGTAAGGTGCCCAGGTGGCATTCCCTGAGCTAGCCTGAAGCTAATGAAAGGAGGAGAGCTGCCAAGAGACAAAGCTTAGCTTGGGCGCTTAGACCCAAGCTAGGTTCTCCCCCTGGGCTGTGTTTTGCTGTGGGAATGTACTGACATGGTCAGCACTAGCTCAAGGGTCCCTACAATGTGCTCCACTGAGAAGTGTCTGTTGATTTAATCTAGGAGAATACGGGTGAGCAAGGCTTTTTTGGCATGGCTTATGTAAGTACCCAAAGTCTGCAGAATACATGGTTTTCAAATTACCCTGAGCCTTGGATTTTATGTCTTTTTTTTGGATCATGATGCTTGCTGTAAAAATCTCTGGTTTTCTGAAAAGACGTGAGAAGCACAAAACTTGCTTCCAGATAGACACATGTAACAGGCACCATAGAGGTCAAAGGAACTTCTCCCACTATTTTGAGTTGTGTGAAATGACTTGCAATAAGTGTCAGACCTTCAGCAGGTATACTCTGGTGGGTTTCCAATGAAATTGCAAGTGGTACTGACAGGGTCAAATAGCACAATTGCCTTCTTCCTATATGGTAAGAGACTATGATCAAATAAAACTTGAAGAAGCCAAGGCCAAAACAAACGGAGACAGTTCTTTAGGTGACATGTAGTAGTCCCGTAGAATTCCTTGCCAAAGAATGACGAGTGCTAACACTTTGCATGGGTGCAAGGAGAGACTGAAAAAGTACGTCAAAGAGAAATCTATTACTAAATATAAAGCACCACATCTAGCTCAAGCAGCCCTGGGCTAAAAATACTTTGAAGCTAGAAAAAAGCAAGTAGTATCAGACCACCTGCTCTTACTCTTCCTTAGGCATTCACATATGACAAGTGCTGAAAACAGGAGAGTGGACAAAATTAATCATAGAGGGAACACGGCAGGGGGAGGAGAGGGAAATGGACACTGTTACATCCTAACAAAGTCTGTTTCCGTTAGGAGAAGAGCTGATCCTGGCAGGCTGTGAAGTGCAAATTGGAAGGGAGGCTTGTGAGTCCCAATTTTACTGGAACTGAAATTCTGTATAGAATCCAATTACCTTTACATTTTGGTATATTTTTTTAATGCAAGTAGAAGAGAAACAAACACTTACATCTCCCCACTGGTAGAAAAGCTTAGCTGCATTCCATTGCAGCTTCTGGTTCCTTTTGTTGCCCACAATAGGAGAACGTCCACGGGACAGGCCTTTCTTGGTAATGTTTACATGGTGGCCCTTCATCCACTCAGGCCAGTTGCCACGATTACAGCGGTGAACAAAACGTGCACACTCGAGGAACAGGGCCGCTCTCGCCACTACTGGAGCTTCCTAAAGTGTTTGCAAAAAATCACCTTAAATACAAAAACATTGGAAAAAAAATCTCTGAACATTAAAGGAGGATTTTGTGCTTTAATCAATTGCTTTGCAAGCTTTCCATGGAGTCACACAGACGAAGCAATCTCTCCATCAAAATGTGAAACCAGGATCTCTGCTGTAAGTCTCTCCTCTTGAGCTAATAAAACCAAGGCTCATCAACACTGAACAGTTACGCTTAGTCCAACCACTAGAGGGGCAGAAAGAGCCACATTATAAACTTACAGACAAGCTTGTACCAGTACCCCTCTGTAATGCTTTCTTTCAGAAACCATGTAACTACCATAAAGCAGAAGTGTGCATCTAACACTTACTGGAGGAATGAGTCAAGTTTTCTTTTCACCTTTGCTGGTAAGGCTGCAAATATTGCAAGTGCAAATGCAGCATGGCCACGTGAAGCCTAGCATTTGACGTGTTAAGTTCTGCTTGTGTACCCTGGGGGTGGAAGCATGAATGGTGGCTTGCTGAAACTAGGAATAGTGCTGTTTCGCACTTCTAAAAGCAGATATGGAGAGTGAAATCCATTACTGGCATAAGTCAGCAAAATTTTGCTGGCCTAACTTCAGTGGTCTTAGCAAGCATCGGTACTGAAACAACATCAGGCAGCTGAGTTTCTAAGTGATTGACTGTTTTCCAGAGGAAAATCTTCTGGCACCCAGCTTGGAAGAGCACTTTTCTTTAATGGGAGAAATGCTATTGAATGTATCTTAGTTTGTATTAAATCAGCCAGCAGGATCCATGTTAGACCAATAAAGAATGCTTCTGAAACTCTCAAATACGTTCAAAAATGGACACTGTAATTTGTTTCCTAAAGAGTAGCTTAGACTCAGGAAGGAGCTTTCTTCCCAGCAGTCTATAACTCTGCAAAAATAACATCTTTACAGACATGGAAAGTGACTAAAAGCAAATTGTTCTCTTCATTTCCATTTAGCTTCCCCCTTCCTGCAGTTTTCACAAGCAAAAGCCCCTGTGGCCAGCATGTTTTAAAATTAAGAATACAACAATGTCCACAATTTACAAGCTGGCTTTGAAAGGTTCCCTAACAGGGATTTCACAGAGCACAAATGTGTGTTCCACCCATTTAGATGCTGACAGCTTTAATGAGATAATTTAAACAGATCAGCATCTACTTACAAGGGGAGTCCTCATCTGTGGTCCATAAATAACAGACTGACCCTGAGACCATTGAAGATGGTCTGTGGAACATTATTAAATACTGCCTCCAGTAGTGCTTTCATCAGAAGCTGAAAGTAAGAAGTTTTTGACCAATGCTCCAAAGTTTGGGAATTGATTTAAGAAATTCTGTACTGCAGCTAAACTTACAGCCAGAAATTACTACCAACAGGACTGAAAATGTCAAGCCTTTTAGGGGCCTGGCAAAAATATAAAAATGTTTAAAAAAATAGGTTTTATCTACATTAACATTAATGTTAATTGCTTCCTGACACATTGTCCTGTAGCAGCTTTTTGCTTGTATTTTATTAAAATATTGGAAGAAAACAGCAATATTTTAGCAATTCTCTTGAATAAGAACTTTAAAAGCTGGCCCAATGTTCTGACAACAAAGGCAGAAATCTGAAGCCAGACACTCATTGACAACCAGAAACAAAGCTAGTATCTAGCACCTTTAAAAACCATTACAAATTACCTGTTGCTCACATGCAATATGGAACACAGAATAGGTGAGATTTTATTTTTTTATTGTCACAAACTAATCTAATACCTGTGGAGACATGGAGACATACACAAAAAGATGAATGCCCAGCCTTAGCCTCCTCCTGTTCACCATTGGCAAAGTCACAATTTCTTAGCGTATAGCAATCTTGAAAAGATATGTGTTGTAAACATTACGGAAGCAGTCAACTACTATAACGAAAGTAGGATGCGTAGGATGGGGGGTAAAGGGGAGGAGCAGGAATTCCAAATTAAAAAATCACTGAAAAGACCTCCTGCATGAAGGAGGACTTTCTGAACATCACGGGACACAATCTGCCTGTGATTGCTTACCTGAGGCTCAGAGAAACCTGAAGCAGCAGCAAGAGAAAGATGAAGATGTGACAGAATGGACAGGGATGGATTGACACCACAGAGAAACACATCACAAATGGAGAGAAATGAATCAGGCAGGTGATGCATAGCTGAAAAGAACACAAGTTTCCATGGTCACTGTCAAAGCTTAACACAGCAGCAATACTCTCACAAGCCTGCCTGTGCCTGTGAAACTGTTCTCAAGTCCACTTTTAACATTAGACCTACTATCTTGCTTTGCCTTTTGAAAATTGTTTTTGTACTGTATAGATTGACATGAATAAGAATCCATCATTTTCTTAACAAAATTTCAAATACTCCCATTGGAGCTCTTCAACAGATAACCTGATTTGTAACAGTAACAGCAAAAGCAATGACCTGGGTGGGAGGGACCAAATACAGAATGGATTTAGAATTTTACAGCATCACATTACTGTTCAAGTAAAGCTGATTCTGCAGAGATTTATGACAGAGTCCAGTTTTGTTTTCAAGGATAATGAATTTTATAAGACTAATCAACCAGTGGTAATTTCCTTGTGCTCTTTCTTACACTCCACTAGGCACTTTCAGCAAAAATTTATTTCCACTGGTTTCTTCAAAGAAAAAAAAAAAGGCAGTGCAAAATAGCAACAATCTACTTTTAGAAGTAAATAAAGTAAATTCAAGTAGTCTCAAAAGATGCTGACTGGTTACCACTGCTTTTTCTAGCCACAAGGTAAATCTGGCATGAGAAATAGCTTAGCAGGTACATGAAGACAGGTCATGAGTAAATTATTAACCAATGTTTTGGAGAATTGCCTCAAAAACATTAGTTCAAATCCCTTAGATTATATCTAAAAATGGTCAAGTACAGTCCATGACACAGCTCTTTGATTCTGTTCCTAGTCATCTACTCTGGGGACCTGTGTGGAGCAATCTCTGATTTCTTTCCAGGTCATATGCCCTCCTATGGACAAATATTTCTGGAAACAGGGACGTGGGAACAACAGACCCTGCCTAAGACCCTGGGTGACATGTAGTCAGGATACCGGCAAGTATTCTTGCAGTTTAGACTTCGCTTCTGCCATCCCAATACGTAGCAGGTCATCTCAAACACAGTCCTGCCATAAAGCAATGCCATTATGGCATTTCAACAAGGATGAGACATTTACATGTTAGAACAGATCAGCTCACAAATCTTATTGGAGAATTTTAATGGTGATGGGTGTCACACATTGTTAAACTGGTCAAAGAAAAGCTTTTATTTCCCCACCTGAGTCATTCACACTAGTCTAGTTAGGATACTTTAGGTAACATCTTTATGCAATGCTAGACAGCAGTTTATTGGAAAGCTCTGCAGAAACTTGACCACAGACTGAAATATCATATTACTTGCCTTTCAACCTCCCAAATGTCTCAAAAAGGGAAAGAAAATAAATTTTATTATTGCCAAGTCTGGATTTAAGCTGGTGACATAAGGGTGAAACTGTCCGCAACTTATTACCAATTGTCACTAAATGTTTGCAAAGCATAAATTGATTGTAGTTTTATAAAATTCAGTCAAGGATGGATGCTGCTTCTAGGAAAATATGTTAACTACGCAGTTTGTAAAACTAAAGCATTACTCAGTTTAACATATAAATAAATCATTTCCTCCATAAGGATGCAGACTTTGTTTCATTGCTCTAATTTCTTTAAATCACTGTGGCAAACCTGTATAAACATTCATGCTGATCAAAGACCTGGAAGTTGGTATAAGAATGGAATATCAAAAATCTGCATAAAAAAGCATGCTCAAAAAGTTTGTGAAAGAACTGAAAGTGGAGCTGTTTGCCTTTCATTTTTTAAAGGCTGCCATAGCAACTAGGCTGGATAAAATTACTTAAGCAGATTTTAATTTGCATCAAACCTGATTCAAACTATTACTTCAAAAGCCTGAAAACAGAAGTTAAAAAAAAAAAACCAACAAACCAGGATGTTTTCTGCTGGGTGTGCTCTATTGACACAAGATGTGGGAATTTTCCATAACAGCATACATTGCACTAAGCAGTACAGTGAGATGACAAGCTGTCATCTTTTGAAACCTGCAGTGCATGTGACTTCTTAACTTCCATGTATCTCCAATACTTTGTAGACAAAAATGTCAGCTAAGCAGGTACTTGTAAGGCGCTTCCCAAGTCTGTAATTAGAACAAGGCTTCTTTCATCTTTAACTGCAGACCTTCTAGAAATTCTGATACCAAAGCCTTCTATGGCATTCTGCAGAAAGGAGATAGAATCAAACTCTATTTTGTAAAAGCCAGCTCTTGAAGTCGGAACAGACATCTTCAAACAGTTTTATCTGACCAGTAGTTTCCAGTTAACTTCATAGGTGGGCACAGAGTAACTTGGTCTTTAGCTTAGGCATTTGGCAAATTTAAAAAATAAGACATTTACAGGCAATAGGGACATAATTGCCAAACCCCTGTTTTATTGTCTGGTTTATTAGCACATAGATCAGTGCATCCCCGGAATGATCTTAGTGACATACTTGTCAGCAATGAGCTCCTTCTCTGCCCATGCACCTTACATTCCCTGCGTTAGTTTTGAATTCACAATGGAGCAGCAGCCTGGCAGCCTTGAAGAATGAAGTTGTCTTTGTGCAGCACACCCAGCAGGAGTGACTATCTACCCAAGCCACCTTCTGAGCTCACTGCAACCCTGACTGGTAGGAACCAGTTCTGACAGTGAGAGCATGAGACAGGCTTCCCTACCTTCTGTAGGGACTGCTTCCATACTTTCCAGCCAGAGAGACAACAATCTCCAACAGGAAGAGTGGGAACTAGTGAAGAAAACACTTGTCTACTGGAAGATGGACAGGGACCGGTCCAAACAGTAGAGCTAGATGTGAACTGATAGCAACAGCAACTCTGGGCCAATATAAATGCAGACTTGCTTGAATCTGCAGCCTAAGGATGCAATGTTAAGAACATATAAAGGAGTGGTGCACAGAATGTATCATTCCTACAACTATGGAACAGGCAAGGCAGCACAACTCAGGGGGCACAGAACTAGCAGAATTGGAGAGTACATAAGTCTGGCATCTCCAGCAGCGAGCAAAAACCTGAACATAAGCACAATTGTCATGACAATCAGAGGCGAGAGGTGGGGAGTGGGAAAACAAAGGGATAGAGAGGATGTGGGTGCTCTGAGAGCAGTGGTTTTCAATCTTTTTCAGTTTGCAGACATCCAAACACTTCTGCAACAAAGTAGAAGAGCAGAGAAGTTGCTAATAGTTGGCTGGCTTTTCATAGCTGTATTTGTCACAATCTTGTGCTTGTCACATAGGTAACTCACAGAAACCAACTGGCCCATTCAGCCCAGGCTGAATGCCACTGCTTTAGAAATGGAAGGGACTGTTAAAAAAAAAACAGCCCCTGCAAGGAAAAGGAGGAAGATACAGAAGAGACCCTCGGCACCAGGAAGGAGGGACTGAATTGTGTGTTCTTTGATTTGGATTGGCAAATTACCAATATGTCCATTTAAAAGCGTATACAGTCCGACATTTGAAGTTTTTTCCACTGACTGGCTCTGGTGCCTAGTAGTTCAGTGTTGCCTAATGTACTTATAACTGTCAGAACTCCAGGTAGTTATCCAGTCTTCAATCCTTATTCTGTAGATTATTATTGACACTAGGAGCAGAAGCAGAATGGCTGTGAGCAAAACTTGAAGTCTGAAAATAAAAGCTTTGCACTGGCAATAATCTAGTTAGGGGGAGCCATGTAACAAAAAAAGGATCCAGTTTGTTTGCATACTCATCCAGTCACAAATGCTAAAACTCCGCCTAACACCACCATCACCAGTAGGCATTGCTGTGATGCTTTACCTGCTTTCTGTGCGGGCATGAACAGCATTAGTGACTGACAATGGACCACCACATACGCACATGCTCTCACTCAGCAGGTAAAAATACACCAAGGAATGACTTACAAGATCTAGGGCTGCTGCCAAAATGGAGGCATCGGGGATAGTGCCTGGTTCACAGCAGTTCAGGAGAAACTGAAAGCGCTTCATGCCTTGGCGGATTGCTCCCAGGTTCACAACGTTCTTGGATTTTCCTCCTTCTTGGTTGGAGGTCAAGTGATCATCAAAGCTATGGCAACCTAAAGAAGCAGAGAGTACAGAGGGGATGCAGGGAGGGGTAAGGAGAAGGGAACACAGTCTCTCACCAATAATAAAAGTGGAACAAAAATCCTGATGAGTACAGTCTTGGTCTAAATCCCTTCCTCACCTTCATGTGCTATCTTGAAGATAACAAGGCCATTTCTACAATATTCATGACTTCTGCAAAACAGGCGTGCAGCAAGCCAGATTCTGGTCTTGGTCATACTGATGACTGCCCAAAACAATTCCACCATACGAAGTGTGAAAGCCCAGGATCTACTCCAACATAGGTGAGCCAGGATATAGCCCTTCCTCCCCACCTCTTTAACACAAATCATCTTGCTGACTGTCTGTTTTTCCTGAATAATCTCCTATCTCACTTCTCTATTGCCTCTAAGTTTACGTTAAAGTGGAGCACGCATAAACCTTATTCCTCATGTATCATTTTTGTAATACATCATCTACTAGGACAGAAAAATCAGTAGCAAATATTGGAAATGTTCTATGTGGAAATAAAGTACTGGCCTTTTTTTAGGCACACATCTCCTTCAATTACCAGAACACCCAAAGTGAGAGTGGACTCAACTCCTAGGTATTATTGTTGTTCCAGCCTCTCTCCCTTGAAATGTCTTGCACTCTTTGGGATGGAAATCTCCCTAATAAGAGTTCCTTTTGAAAGTGGAGTTAGCGCCCCACTCCAGGGCTTCCTTCAAGCACAATTTTAACCTCCATATATAGAGTTCACATAAGTCAACTAATCCCACTGCTGATTGAAACAAACACTCCTGAAAGCAGATCATTATGCAGTCAGTACCCAGAGCTGAGAGAGTGGTAGAAAGACAGATGAGAAATCAGGAAAGTAGTTTCACGATCAGGGTGGCTGGGCAAAACAAGAATAGTCAGCTTCTGGGCTTTTTGTCTTTGTCCATAATACTCTCCCTGTTTACATGTAAAAGTGCAAAGTTTACAGAATACTGAAGGATAATAACACTGAAGAAGAGAACACCGAGTGGAGAATTCAAGATTGGCTTTGAACATGGATTTGAAAGATAAGAGGCAAAACATCAGTTTTACAGGACTTTGTGACTTCTCTTTCCTCAGGAAAGAATGGCTGAAACTTAATACTCCATTTGAGATCACACTCCCCAGAATTACTTGGAAAGCACTTATGTAACACAAACAACAGTCACAACAGAAAATGACAAGGTAGGTCTTCACTTTTGCCCTCAAGACAGGTATATCAAATTTCAAGAGACTTCTTTACATTGTCTGTGGCTTTCCTCTCTCCAGTCAAGCTGTATATAGTTTTCCAGTAAAAAAAATGTTCTTATGTTGGGAAATATTTCATCAAAATGGAATAAACAAACAAACAAAGTAGAAAGACTAGGTAGAACACTTACATAAATGAGCAGGCACAAATACCCTTTTCTTCCAACTCCTCCCATTTCCTTACAGCCTGTAGCATGCTATCTGAGCCTTCTTGCTATGGCTGGTGTAACACTAACTCATTTGAGATACTGATAATGTTTCCTATTCAGGCCCCTGTTACAGTGTGCCTGTATGAGATAAAGAACAGAAACCTCACTTTCTGATACAGAAAGGCATGCCTAAGGCATCTCCCTAATCCCCACTATAAAGAGGCTTTGTCCACGTGGGCTCAGTAGTACTACCTACAGTCTATCACTACAGCCCTTTGCAGTCCCAGCCTTGCAGTTTGTCGAAGCTTTGCACGAGGCAGCTAATGGCTGTCGTCCACTACACCCATCCTGGAGTAGCCTTGCTGTGAGCAGGGGAGCCCTCACTGGCTTGGTGCTAATGTGACTCAGCCCTGCAGAAAAATCTCACCTAGTGAGCAGAGACCATCTCCTAACACAGGAGGACACTGGATGCCCAAGCTCCTGCCCACACAGTTGCTTCCTATGTGAATGCAAGGTCACCCCTCAGAGCAAGCACGTGCTGTGGTTAGCCTGTGCTGCTATTTTGCAATCCCTCACAACATCTTCAGTAAGTGCCCAAAGGAACATTAAAGGTCTCATGTAAAGATACTGTAACTCACTTCTATATATATGCTTGTTCTTGGTATAGGTAAAAAGATCATTAAAATAAACATTTTGTTATGCATAAATATGCATATATTTATGTGTATATATATATATATGTATACATATGCACCATACAGATACACACACACATATACTTATGCTTACATAAATATCCAACACAGAATTTCCAGTGATCTAGATGATATATCATGATGAAGATTACAATTCATAAATTATATGACAAATTATTCTACCTTTTTTTTTTTTTTTACTGTAATGTATTTCTCCTCGGTCTACTTTCTTTTAAATTTAGTCTACTATGTTAAAAAACCCAAAAACACAAGAAGAAACACCACATGGAAAAAGCATGAGCAAAGTAATGACATAGCATCATGAATGACAAGAATGGGAAAGCAGAAATATGTTCCAAAACAGTGCTTTAGGGTCATACCTTGTGGGATTTAATAGTATGCCCATTCACCTTCAATAGGCTTTTAGTCTCTTCTCCATAACCACATAAAACCTGCTGATCCTTATGGAAGACACAGAAGCACTGGAAATATGAAGGCCCTCTGTAATGTTGCTGTTCTACTGTGTTATAAACTGTCCTACCCTGAAAAGGCCTTACATCAATTTCACTACGGAGATACAAATGCATATACACACATGCATGTACAACTACTCTAATATTTTTGCTAATGGTATGTGGCTTTCATTGCATACCAGAGATCCTTGTGGACATGGTGATACAAGTTCCTTCACTGTCACACTTTGCCTTATAAAATTTAATTACCTTCCCTTTACTTCAGCTAGTGATCAGGCAACAGCCCAACCCTCCCCACCAACATCTTTAGACAATTTGCTTGTTTCTCAAACTAACACACAAGGGTCTCTGTCCTTAAACCATTGCACCACTTTTATTATGGTATTTCTAATGCATGTGTATGTCAAAACCAAGCATATGTCATGCACATCTCTTCTCTCACAGATATGTAAAAGACATTTCAAGTTCTCTTCATTAATTACATTAATTCTGATGTTACTCACAGAAGGCTGAAGTATGAATAACGCTTCCAAAGTTCAAAAAGCCAATACTACTGTGTCATCTGAAGTTTGTATAGACATAAGATGTGCCACACATACTGAATAAGGCTTTTGGTCCTCACAGGGCCAAGACTAAATCTGTGCCATTAAATCAAGAGTATGGGCACTCTAGGCAGAATCAAACTCAGTGGCATAAATCAGCATTAGCAAGATGAAAAAAAAATATTTCCTACAAGAAAATATGAAGGACATCTCACAGGAGCACTCTAGAAAGAGCTATGGCGGTGTATAAAGATCTCACTGCCCCTCAGTTGTTTGTTCCCAGTAAGAGATGGGAGAAAATATGCTGGAAGCATTTCACACCTACTCCAGCACAAAGTAGTGTATGAAGAAAACAATGCGGTTCCTTCCATAATGGGGGTATTCACCGTCAGCTACCAACCTCCAACAAGCTGCTGGGCTGATGCATTCTCCTTCTAAAGGAATGATATTTTCACCTAGAAGCTAGTTGAAAACCACCACCAGTGTTTCTGCAGCGATGACCAGTTTACACTGGCAAGATATGCTCATACTTTACTAGTATAACTTGCCTCAACAGTGCCTTACATGCATTACACTGCAGGTTTGGGACAAACGATGGTGAAATACATACAATGCAGTCTCAAAGTGTAATGTCAGAAAACAAAAAAACATAATGCCAGAGAATGTAACATACCGTAAAGCTACAGAAATCATGGTCAAAAAGAAAATCTACTCCTTTTTGTGTGTTTTTGGGAGTCAGGTTGGGTTTTCTTGAAAAAGCAGTTACAGAACTTCAAGGTTGTCTCCCTGACAACAAGGATGAGCTCTGAGCTGAGGACATGAGCATGTGAATCACTGCATGACATTTTAAAACAGACTATATCATGACCTTGTATTATTCATAAAAGGCACTTTTCAAACATTGCTGATTTTGAAAATACATTGCAATTAAATATACTTATAAGGAAAGGAAAAGTAGTGTTGTTATTATTATGTTGTGTGCTAAGAAAAAAGGACAGCATCCCTAACAAATGGTATGCAGACACTGGACATGCAAACACAGAAGAAAAGAGATAATTATAACAAGGTTTGTGCAAGGTTTTCCGTTTCTGTGCTGATCTTTGCTAAAACTGTCAAATGGTTACAAATTGGAAAAAAAAAAACACAACAAAAAAACTGATGGAACACCCATTGTTATATCAGGCAATGAAAGATTTACACACCTAATTTTGAACTGAATAAGTGCTTTGAAGCAAGCATTAATTTCTCAAGTGTATTGATTCAATTTGATTTTAAAAGCCCAAACGTTGTATTCGCACAATTTATTTGGATAGTCTTGATTTTTTAAAAAATTGACTTTACTAGAGTTTTTCCTAAATCAAAACAAAAGAAAGAAGGAAGGGAAAGAAAACAGTTATAAAGACTAAAAAGTTGGAGAAGGCTAGAATGGATACAAAAACTATGGAGAAAGCAGGAAAAAAGGGAAAGGGGTAAAATACAGAATGAAAGATATTTAAAAAAAAAAAAAAGATAAAAAGAAAGAAAAAAGCAGACGAGAACCCTGATTTCTAACCATCTTTTTCTTCTGTGTGATGAAGCTTGGATGGGTGTCTTCGGCAGGTGCGCCATTTACCAAGACGCTTGAAGAAATTCTCCTCTTCATCTCGCCCGTTGTCCAGGCCACCTCCTGGCCCCACTCCTTCTGACAGCTTCACTGCGCTGGTAAACTTCACCTGTGCAAAGACAGAGGGCTGGGTCAGGCTGCACTGTACCACTATCTCTTGGTGTTCCTTGCTTAGACATAAAGCATCTACAGAGGGGCTGTAACATAGTGGATCACCATAGCAACACAAGTGGGTCTGCACAGATTTACATATGCTGAAGCACTTCATCTTTTAAGCTTTCTGGTTAAAGGATTTGTTTTTCGCAAGAGGCTGTAAAGGCACAAAGAAGGAAGGAGAAGTGTGACCAACAATTAAACCTGAAGTGTGTTGACAGAGCCTGCATTTCTCTCTCAGTGAACCAAGGCACAGTCAAATACAGTGTAGGTTTAACCTAGACCTCACCATGAGCTGCAAAACTCCAGTACCCATAGAATTCCCATGGCACTCTACAACTTCTCCGACCGAGTCTTATTGGCTGCAATGTCCATGTTGAGTAGAATGTTTCATTGGACAGCTAAAACCAGCCAGATCCTGTCCTTCCAAGCGCTCTGCAATCCAGCGTGACACATTTACCTTGGAACTCTGCCTGATGAAAGACAGACGGTCGACAGAGCTGATATCTAGGAGATCTTCCACCCCATCAGCCAGGCCAGAGAGGGAGGAACGCTTCAGCCAGTTCCCTGTTGCAGAATAAGCCACTCAGGACAATTCTGAAAATGCTTCCAAGCAGAATCTGTTTATTAGCAATTGCAGCATATTTCTCCAAAGTGGCCATGCTAGGGTATGGGAACATGGAGAAAAGGGGAAGGCAACCTTTTCATGTTACATCTATTAACTACCATGCAAGGCCAGGTCTTCAGACTTATAAAGGATACATTCTTTGTCTATCAAATGCTATTTGGAATATTTCTCTTCTACAGAAAGGAACAATGCCTGTGAGATCAAGGTACTAGCCTACTACTTCAGAGACACAGATTCAGTGTTCTATTTTGCCACAGATATCCTCTGTTACCTTTGGCAAATTGCTTCCATTTCCCCTTGCCTCAGTTCCCCATCTGCAAAATGGAGACAGCAGCATTTCCCAGCTTCCCTTGGGAAAATATACAATATACTTGGACAATAAGGAACTGTGTTGCAATGTTTCTTAAGACAGATGTATGTATTTGTGTTTCTCTGCACATGCAACATGTATATAGAATAGGAAGAGACATACATTTACCTATGGGGAGTTTGAGTTTCTTTCGAAGGGAGATTCTTCGGGAACGGGAGCGGGAGCGTCTGTCTGTGGTGGTCCCAGAGTGGGCAGTGGTGCACTCGGATGTGTCCTGCTCAGATTGACTACTGGTGTCACTTGCTGCACTCTGTGACTTGAACATCTTTCGCCAGAAGTCCTTGCGTCCCAGAACGGCCCCTTGGATTTGCTCATCACTGGAAGAAAAGGGATGCAGAGCATGAACTGCATATCAGTGAAGTTTGGATGCTCAGAGGAATGAGGCCTCCTTCCTGCAGCCCTCTCCTAACCTTTCTATTCTTTAAGGTTGTTTCATTTTGAATTGCAAACATATCCTTCTCAGTGGCACATAATCAAGTTTGATCACACGCTCAATATTGTTCAAGGCACAAAATAACCATCTTTTCTACCCTGAGGAGTTTGTCCGCTGAAGTGGTCATTCCCTTTTTTCCTACATGTGAAAAATGAATAATCTTCTCTAGGTCAAAAGACTCATATTGATAAGACTACACTGGTCCGTTCTACAAGCATGTGCACTGGAGAGCTTTTGGACATCACGACAGCCTTTTGTGAACCTGCTGGCTTCGCAGTTCTCATTAATGTATTAGAATAGGGACAGCATATTTTGCTATACTCTTGAGATCTCCCATGGCTGTGGCAGGGCTCAGAGCAGAACAGCTTGCTGAAGTTGTGCAGAGCAGTAAAGAGCTTTGTGTTATCCTTACAGTCTCAGCCACAGTAAGACTTTGCAGGGTTAGCTAATACAGAATATATTATAAAGAGTTCTGGGCCCTTGTGCAAGCGATGTTTTCGTACAGTGCATCTCAAACAAGATAGACAGGCATTCAGAGGCACAGAGAAGTTAAATGACTTGTCCAAAGTTACTTAGGGACCAGTGGCCATTTACAACATTTTCTAAAATTCTTAAGAGTATTGATTAAATTTACTTCAATATTAAACGGCAGAATTCTTTGGACAACAGAGAATTCAAGCATGTCACGCCTAACAGCAGGTTGATTTGCTCATTAAGAAAACAGGTAGAGCACCTGTGCTGATAAGGAAAATGCTACAGTCTTCTGAGACTACATGTCCAGGATAGGTCAGGAATGGGCTGGCTCTTGGGAAGCAGTAAGGGATTAATGATCCTTAGCCACAACTTGGAAGTTGAAAATTAATAGAATCATCACCCAGAAGTACAAAGCATGGAGAACAGCTGCGATGACATCTCTGAGGAATTAACACACTATTCACTATGGTAGTGTGCAATATCGACAAATCTACTGCACTGTCATTTGAAAATCTCTGGCGGTTCCCCATCAAAATCATGGTGGGTCCGATTGGCACCATTGAAATAGGCATTACCTGGATGTTATCAGCAGCTCCTGAACAGACAGTATGTTTGTTGTACCGTCCAAAGGGATAAGTCCTTGCTGTCCTGCCCATTTATACTAATCCCAGAAGGATGCTGCTGGCAGTAACACATGAAACAATTCGGTGTTTACTTACTGTTCTGGAGTTTGCATTGGGCGGCTTGACACGTAACTACGGCATTCATCAGGGGGAGCTGGTGCCTGGCCTTTGTCAATGATGACGCTTCCCACCTCAGATCTATACAGACAAAAAAAATCACCAGCTAAAGCAAATGGATGGCCCATCTCATGGTCATCACATAGCTACACGACATGGAAACCAGCGCTGCTGACAGCAAAGGAGCTTTAGAGATGTACCCTCTCTTTAGCAACTTACTGTCTCTCTCTATATAGCATTCATGAAAAAGGCATCAGCTCTTAGAAGCAAACCCAAGGGTTTTAGGAGGTTTTCAACTTTCTTAATCCCTCTTCCCAACATTTTAGTATGACAAGCCTCAGAGAAAATTTCTTTTTGCTAAAGACGTATGTCAGGGTTAGATTTCTTCTGGGACTTATTTTGCATACCAGTGTTTACATGTCAGATAAACAACATTAAGGTTGTGACGCACATTAAAAGCTATGTCCACACAATGTTTTGGGACTGACACTATGCTTCTTACTTCTCTTAACCTTTCCTTCTCCCAGTGTTTCCATTGCACTGTTCTCTTAGGCCTCTTGTATGGGAGAGTTAACCCTTTTTGCTGCAAGTCTATTACTGTCTCAGGTCATTAAATTATGAGACTGCCACCACTGCACAATTCTGTACATCAGAAGCTGATATATGGTATCAAGATAAAACACACATGTCCTTGGATTTTCTACATTTGTATTCTGTGCATGTAGTCATGCAGCCATATGCAAGTCAGTCATTTGCCTTCTCCTTCCTAGATACCCACCTTTTGCTCCCAGAAGGTTTCGGCTCTTGCTCTGTTTCCTCTGTTTTTTTTCCTGGTGTTAACTTTTCAGCACTGTCTAAGAGGGCACTGAGTGCCACTCTCCGAAATACATTCCCATGAGCCTCCTTGATAAACTGGACCAGCTGTCGGATATCGCAGTACAAGCCCTGAGTAGCAAGACATCACGAAAAAGAAAGAATTCAGTCCGCAGTTTGTGAAAAAGCAGTGAGAATCAATAGTTTCTAAGGTACTTCAGCAGGCCATTACTTCCTCCAGCTGTTGTCTGATATACTCTCCATGTACATGGTTTGTGTTTCCTAGCTGGCATCAAAAGTTGGAAACGCCATTTAGTGCACTCAGAAGCAGACAACGAGCATTATTGTTATGGAACATGCTCTACAATAGACTACAGTAGATGTATCAGAGGCTAAAACAGCTGCAAGATGAGGGAGCTACAAAGCTGACTTAAAGCTTGTTTTATCCCATTCATCTAGTGCATAATCTTAAGAGGCCTGAAAAAGCTAAAGGGGTGGGGGGGCAAAGTAAAGTGCAAAAACTTGCATGTTTTGTTTTAAAAGCAGTGGGTGTCTTGGGATTTTTCTTGATTATTTTAGAGCTTTACATCATAGGAAGAGAGAGGAATGACTCACTCATTCCCCAACTCACTCCTACGCTCAAACCTCTTTTTAGTTCTGAACATTCATACACATCTGTGATGTGACAAATCACCTCTATATCTGAGGGCAAGGGGATGGAGGGAAGTTTCACAGCACCTGATTTCTGATTTGTGAACTTTCCTGAAAGATCTTTGATATTCTGAAAATTCCCAGCTAGGAACTGCACAGCCAGCTTTTAACAAAAAATCCCCAAACAAATAATTGGATCTGTATACTGAATAAGGCTGTCTTTCGTAAGATACGAAACACAAGATTGACTTTAAAGAGTGATGCAACAAGAGGAAATCCTCATGTATCTTCTGCATACTAATTTCTCCATACAGGCACAATTAATGGTGCTATGCTTAAAGTATAAATTTCCCCTTACATACTAGCTAAAATAGGGTCTAGAAAGACATACAATGTATAAGGAAAATTTACACTTTGTGATCCTAGTCTAGATCCAACAATGGTGCATATTTTTCTGCATCCCACCACTCAATCTGTGCTGAGAAACACTCCAAATGAGGAATATCCATAAGAACAAGAGGACTTGGGTGTAGGCAGACTACTCTGCTGGTTTAAGATCTTACTGTGTTTTTCTTCTCCCTCTCCCTTCCTCTCACAGAGGATTACTGGCCCTTTAGCGTGACTTCAGTGCCTCTGCAGCTCCGCTGTAAGGATGGAGCACAAGAGTGCTTCTTGGTTGCTTCCATGAAAAATCCTGATTTCTAGTAATAAACAAGGTAGTTTGTGATTAGCTGCTAGATTCTGCACCAGTTTGGAAGAAGAGAGCTCATGTCATCCATTCTACTGACTGCTCAGGGGAGACAGCACATCGGCAGCAACCAGCAGCACCTTACTTTCCTCCAGATGTTTGGTAAATTGAATGTTTGCCTAAACCTTGGGAAGACCTACCAAATTGCTAACAAATTCACATACTCTGCCACGAGTGCACCATATCCTTAACCAAATAAACTGGCTTTAACTTTGCTGAAAGTTGATTTATGCTGGCTGTTGTCTTGTTCATTAAGCCCTTGCTCCAGACTATGCTACTAATCCATTTGGAAAAAAGCCCCCTAGAAGCTGCTTGAATAGAGGAAAATGCAATTTAGTGTGTGCAACTTTTATCCTTGCTAAGTCCCCAGGTTCGAAGGCAGGCATGCAAGGAGGGCATCACATTCACATCGTTTCAACTGTGTCTGCATAGCTTGCTGTGCTCAACAGAGTTGGCTAAATGGAATTAGTTCTTCATTGTAAAACCTCACTGGTGACACCCAAGTGAAAAAGTAACTTTGTTAACATGAAATCAAGTGCTTACCAGGTTTTCCGGGCTGTGCAGCTCATGTGTAGTTGAAGCACAGCGAGTGATCAACGACTTGAACATGGCACTCACAATAATACCTTCAACACTCTGGGCTGTAGATTTGTTGTCCACTGTGGTAAAGTTATTCCCAAATCCAGCCTTGTCTGTGAAATACAAGTACAAGCAAGCCCCCTTGTTAGGAACAGTTTAAAAAAAAGATGGCTTAAAGACACATATAAAGGGATTTGGATACATGAGACAAGGGCAAGTCCCCACCTAATAGCCTATGCTCTGTTATTGCAATCCCATCCCACAAAAATGAAGCAGAAGGGAAGGGTAAAAAAAATGAGAAGGATGAAATCTTCCCAGAAATAGTTGTAGTATGGAAAAGGATTGAAAAGATCGGGACCACTCTGGCTTCCTTTTATCCACATCTCTCATTCAGAGACGTACAAAATAAAGCTTAAAATTTGAACAATACTTCCAGCTTTTCTATTTACTGTTCCAAAGGACAAGAGATGTTTGATTAAGCTGAAAAGTGACAACACCCACGAAAAGAAAATCTGAACTACAGGAATGCTGTTCTTGCAAGGTGCGCAAGGAGACCAAGCTCTCAGAAAGAGTCAAAAAAGGATTACCCATTTATATAAATAACAAGAAACATCCCAGTTTCATCAGGTGAGAGAAAAGACTTTCAAAAGCTACATAAGCTGCCATGCTTCAAAGCATAAGCGAGTCAATAACTGATGAATACTTAGGGAAACTTCCTGTGGGCATCTTCTTCACAAAAGCCTGCTATATAATATTTTTGAATGTTCATTCTGAAATGCCTTGGATCAAAGGTAGGCTAATACACTAGTCAGACTCCCCAGTGCTTCAGAGGAGCTATTTCTACTCTGTAAACAGTTATTGTTAACTGCTGTTTCATGCAGTGACCAAGCATAAATGTTTGGTCGTTCTAATAGCACCTGGAATAATTTTCCTAACTTAAAAAAAAAAAAAAACAAAAAACCCACATACATACATAGACACACACACATACATGCTTGTAACTGAAGACATGTGCATCTGTGTGTTCATATTCTTGATTATACAATCTGTTCTTGCTATTTGCTGCCTCACCTGAGGCACCACAGAGGGTTTTAACACTCAAATATATCTCCATTCAGAAAAATCCCTGGGTTAAACAGGCCACTCCAGCTGGTGCCTGGTCATGTCATGAAGCAGAAAACTTCCTGCCTGAGGCATAGCTGAATGAATATATTTTCTTTGGAGAGCTATGAACAACAAATCAAAACAGACGCCTTCAATTTAGGGTGCACTGGGTGATACAAGAGCACTAGCTGAGATCACTGGGTGGTCATGTCAGAAGAGATCCAACTCCTCTGACCTAAACTGGCTGAGGATAAGCTCTGTATATTCTGAGGACAGTAATTCATTTTTTTTTTTCTTTTTTAAAGGGAAATAAAATGGTGTGGCTTCTTTCTGATTGTACAGTTTAGGAATATTTAAGTCAGAATTTCTGATGGGAGCTATACTTACTGTCAGTGACTGGCTCCATGCAGAATCCCAGTAAAGCATGCAGGAAATCCACCACGTTATTGAGAGAATCCCTGTTCACATAATCCCTCATGGTCTGCCGGAACTGCATCTTATCTAGTTTGTACAGCTTTGTGAGGCAGTTCTGAGCCTGCAATGATATCCATCAAATCACATCACATCAAAGTACATGTCTGAGTTTTGCCAATAGGAGCAGGGTGTTTTTTTTTGCTCTTGCTTAACTAGTGCTCTGCTGTGCTGTCTAAAGTAACCTCCCCGATGAGCCAGAAGGCTCAGGTCCTGTGACAGAAGACAGGTTCACCTCTGAAGCCAACAATAAATTCAGCAGAAGGAGACAGTGCACCAGTATGGGTGCCACTGTTTGGAGGTGGTGGTGAATTCACTGCCAGCCATGTCACAAGGCCTCTCCTCCTCTCCCCAACCCCAAGGTAAAATCTCACTGAATATGAATGAAGTAGGAACGTACACCTCAGTCAAGGATTATTGCCTTGGTGAAACAGGTTTTTAGCCTCAGGCATCTGATTTTCAGCCTCTGGCTCAGACCCAAGCCATTTGATGCTCCGGTACCCAGTGACAAATTTGTATAATGCAAAACAATAGCTTTTCATTTAAACTTCTTATCACAAAAGTACCCATTCTACTGACTGGGACCCTATGCAGGCTAGAGTCAGAGAATCTGAAATATCAGCTCTATGAGAAATGTGAACTCACCTGCTACCTACAAAAGGGTGCTTAACTTTCCAGTAAACCCAGACAAGTGATTGTCCATGCAGTCAACACAAATGGTGCATGCAAAGCAGTTTGGGCAGACAAATGCACAGAAAATGCAGCAGACTTAGACATGTAGGAAAACCTCTTCCCATAAAGGTCTCAATTAATGAGTCTGATAAGAACCTTGGTTCCAAAAGACCTATCCATTTACGCTTAATGTTATGCATAGGCCTTTTGCTGGCTCAACTCCAACACACCATAAAAACCTAACTGACATTGTGATGAATATGGTATATGTTCAACCAGCGCCTCATGCAGAACCTTTCTACTGTTACCACTGGGACTCCCTTATCCTATCTTGTCCCATAGTGTCCAGAACTAATGTTACTGCTGCAATCTCCTCAGTACCTGGGAGTCCAGCTAATAGAAGAACACTGCATGATACAGAGGCAGCCAATCCACCTATGAGCCATCTAGCTCAGATCCCAGAACCATGGAGAAGCATCTGGCTCCCACCCACACTGTGGATGGGCACAGTGTAAAGTCTCATTACAGTCATCAAAAATGCTCCCTGCTGCAAGCACGGTGGGCAAGGAGGAGGCACGTGCTGCAGAAAGCCTTTGAAAGGCTCCCGTTTGACATGGCATTGGACTGATCTCAGGGAGTCAAACTCTTCTGGATGAAGTCAGATGTCTGGGCTACATTCTGGGCACTTTACAGTGCTTCAACTTGAGCAGAACAAAAAATGTAAGGAATCGACAGCGACCATCGACCCTGCCCTTCAGTAGGGCATCAGTCTTCTACTTCCTTGCAGCACACTAACATGCCTGCAAGCACAATGCACTCCAACTACCAGGAGCTGATGGAGCAGCCCAACAGCATCCAGTCATAATCACCATTATGAATGGCAGACACCTTAGACTTCTGGATTCCGATATGGAACCCAAGATAGCTGCACCTCTTGTAAATAATGTACTCTGTTGGGGTACCGTCAATGTGAAAAATTACTTACACCAGCTCACACAGGGGATTTGCTCCCATGTATTTGTCCCTTCCCAGACAACCCATCCATTGGAGTGGTCAGAAGCACCCTGGGCCTCAAGTGTGCTCTTAGCAAACCCCAGGAGCTGGAAGGTAACATGATAGCTGAAAATCCACTACGGCTGGGCTGCAACACAGCCTGTGAGCTGGGACAAAGAGCAATACATTTACTGCCAATACAGAGAAAGCTACAGAGAGGGCAGACAGCAATCTCAGCAGCTGATGTCAAAAGTACAAGGAGGACGCTTTAATGAGCTTTAATTCTCTTACATTCTCCCGGAATACCTGGTGTCTCAGGCGATCTCCAGAGAGCCCTCGATGTCCTTCTCCACAACCATAGGCACAACCCAGTGACTTCACAATTTTGATCAGCATTGTGAGTGCCAGCCTATGGGTGCTAACAGATGGGCCTTCATCCTGAGGATCACAGAGGGAAAGACAGTGTGAAACCATGGCACAACCACTGGCATTTTGTTAGCACTTTACTTTAACAAATTGCTGGCCATTTCTCCTCTCAGACACTCCATTACTGAATTGTTACTCTTGAAATGTTTACTCAAATTATTTTTCAAGTTTAGGGACCAGCCCCCTCCCTTTCAGCTCCCCTCAAAAAGTCATGCTATAAATGTGAAGTCCCCTACATGCTGCAATGAATACCATTCAGTGCTTAAAAAATTCTGCCTGAAAAACAGAGCACTGGTCTTGCTTAGGCAGAAAAACAAGCATCTTCTAAAACTGTCTTAGGTATTATGCTATGAATTGCAACTTTGGAGGTCAGCAACAGCATCTCTTGACCAACTCTCACAGCAATACTGAAAAATTTATGATTTCTGGTCATCAAAGAAACCAAACTGTGCTCACACACTGGATTCTGGTTTTCCTTACAAGTTATGAATAAAAAACCTGAAAAAAAAAATCATTGTGGTTGAGGGTTTCAGTCACTTTGACAAGATACTGAAAGTGTCCATGCGAGGCTCACAAACTCTGCTTTTGGCAGCTGCTTTGCTGGAGTAGTACAGTGCTTGAATTCCCAATCATGTTCCTTCAGTGGAACCCCAAGTGAGCACCAGAGCAAAACAAATTAATTTGTCATTGTGGTGCAAAAAAAACCCCCAAAATGGAAAGACAGTTGCAGAAACAAGCATAATCAACCTTAACAGATCCTACAGGACATTCAGGAATTGTGTAAAGAGAAACAAGACGAACCTTTTCTTGGTTTTTGTCATTCTTCTCATATGGCCCTCCTCCTCCTCCACCACCTCCATCATTTCCACCTCCACCTCCTCCACCACTTCCACCACCTCCTTCTCCTCCATCTCCAGCTCCACCAACTGGGGGAGGCCCAAATCCACAAGCTGAACCACCAGAAGCAGCCCCTTTGACCTGGAAGGATCCTTCACTTTGCCTCTTTTCAGGGGCCTCATTTTCTTTTTTCTCACTCTTCCTCCGAACCTTCTCTACACAGGGCACCACCCCAAGCTGAAGTAAGCACTCCACAATGTTCAGTGCCACATCACAAATCCGGGAACTGATGTCATGGTTCAGGACCAAGTAAACAGCCTTCAGGACCACCTGGGAAATTCAAACATCCTATTTAAAGTCAAATTTATTTTCTCTCATAGTACTATTTAGTGCCTGAAAATTCTAGTCACAGACCAGAGACCTGCTATAGCAGGCACAGTACAAGCTCAGAATGAAGTACACACAACCCTCAACCCCAAGAGCCTACAATCTAGGTGTAAGACAAGAAACCACAGGCTGGGCACAGTCAGGCAGAAAAAGAAACCATGAGATGACATCTGTAAGCCTGAGAACATTGCTCCAGTGCACCAGGAGCTGTCAAGTCATTAATTGGAACTCAGAAAAGGTGAGTTTTAAGGTGCCATTAGAAGAAAGGTGCTATTCAGTTTTATACTGTTTTATAGGGAACTTGGTGCATGCCCCAGGAACACAGCCATTACATAGTATCACTTAAGATTTGACGTGTGCATTCCACATGCACATGCGCTCCTTGTAAGGAGTAATGCAGGAGTTGCAGTATCTCAGAGGAGACTTTTATGACAGGCACAAATGTATCTGACTGACCTTTATGTACTGCTGAGAGAAGTCATATAAAGAGGTGGAGGAAAAGCCCATCAAAACCCTGATCTCAATGGTACAGCTATATTGACAGAAGAGGGACCTGGCTTTCCTCATTCCTTGCCAATTACCGAGAGATCCAGCATGCCGTTCTTGTGGACAAAGTTGTTTGTTCCATCAATGTGATCTGTATCCTCCAAGCAACTGTAATTGATGCATGAGTCTGTCAGGCTCCGTGGGAGGTTGGCACATGCAAGCGGCTCATGGGGCATCTCAGGGATGGGCACCTGGTTGCAAAGCTTCCTCATGTGCTCACTGAAGAAATCGGCATAGCCCACATTGAATGAGGCCAGGGTAGTGTTGAAGGTTGCTACAGTGATGGTGGAGATCTGGGACCGCACTGCAGGGAGGAGAATGGCTACTTGTAAATTTCCATCTCTTGAGTTATGAAGTAGAAAACGGAGGCTGTGCTTGTTTACAAGAAGAGAGCAGCTCTTAATGCAGCTTGTAATGCCAAAAGACAAGACAGGTTCCTAATTCCTGTCATGGGTACAGGTATGAAAGCAGAGATTCATTTCTTCCTTTAAGTCAGTGTAAATTAGAACAACCCCAAATTTGCTCTAGCAGTACAGTCCCATGGCAGCTTAAGTTGGTCTCAGTCAACTGGGCAGCTAAGTAGATCAGGAAGCTCAGCCAGCCTAAAACTAATCCAAAAAGGGGATCAGATTTTGGCTAGCTTTGCTCCCAATATCAGTCCAGTGCCTGGTCTAAAAGCAGCAGTGCCCCTGCAAGGTAAAGAGGAAGGACTCTGAAGCTAGACACAGGAGTGAAGGTAAGGTAACAGTAGCACCTATTTGGAACAGCTAAGTCACACCAGTTTGAACTATTTCATCACATCAGTTGAAAAAAATGGAGCAGTGTTCTTAACAGTAACTGTGACAGTCTAAACCATCTCCAAAATGCAAAGCTGACTGATGAGAAAGGCAATGTGGTGTCTAAGTTTACAGTGCTCAGAGAAGGGACCTCATAGCCAAGCTTAACTTTAAATTAGTTAGCTTAGGCAGTGATGTCATTTTGGCTACACAGGCAAATTTTTACCAAGAATGCACCATGGGTTTACAACTCACACTGTTGTAAACCCATGGCCACGATGTTAGTAGTGTAGAATGACTCTATGTGTCCCACAGTGTTGATTGGACCACCTTCTGCCAGACAGTACAGTAACAGGGCTATGGAATAACAAAGAACCTCTACCTAAGTCTATTTAATGTGTTCTATTGAATAAAATAACGTACATCTAATAAGAATCTTCAAGCAATGGACTGGTTATATTATGCAAATAACAACTTGCCAGAGTGGTGACTACATATCCTCATAACCGGTATAACCCTGCCAGCACTGAACCAGCACTACTTATTAGGAGAAATGTTCTAAGGCCCATAGCAGTGCCTTGAACTAGGCTACAATTTGGTCAATGATCAGGACAGAAATTTGCTGCCTGTAATCAGAGGATTACTTGCTGGCAAGTGTGACCTTTTAATGGCATTCACAGAAATTTGCATGGTAAAGATAACAATTAAGATGGATTAAGTAATTTTGTTCCTGAGCTACCAAGCTTGACGATTATTCAAGGGTAGATTTTTTTTGTTTCACAAAGGTTTTGTTTAGTTTGTTTTGAAATAGGTAACAAAAATCCATATTCAAATCCTAAATAAAGTAACTTTTCCTGTGTTGAATCTTTATTTCATTATCAGTGATAGGGCTGACTGCTGGATGGGACACACAGAGGCAGGGGAAGAGGACTAAAGACTCTTCACTTACATCCATGCATGCCTGCAGCATGTGCCCATGTGCCTGTGATACCCTGCGAGCAGCTACCTAGGCCATAACTAATTCTTCCTCTCTGCTTTTCAGTGTGTAAGCCAGAAGAAATGGGTTCATTAGCAAATGTCTCCCGGCCAGGAAAAGCAGACAACAGATGGGAAATTATGAATGACTAGTATTCTTGGATATAGTTGGTCACAGAAAACAAAATAAATATGTAATATTTATACTTATTCTCTAACTACAGAATGGTTCATTCAAAGTCATAGACTACCACTAAAGAGTATGATTTGTGCTATTATTCATATAGCTGTTGCACAATTGTACCTGCGGTACAACTAGAAAAACAAGCATATTTTAGAAAATATTTGGCTAGGAAGCTGCTGTAGTGAGTGGGGTTACTGTCCTATTGAATGAATGCAGGCGGGGAAGACAGACTCTGTAAAATTAATCCAGAAGAGCTTTTCCCAGGAGACACAGAGCAGAGATGAAGGAGATTAGAGCTGACAAAAATCCACCCTCTTTCAGACTATTCAGATTTGTTGTGCTAAAAAAGCACTGACCTTTGAAATCTCTGAGGCCACAGCACGTATCATATGAGTGCATGTGTAGCCTCCTAGGTATGCTGCCCGGCAGCTTGTGCAGAGACAGACTGTGCCCTGCTCCACGGGGTGTATGATATCATGTTCCCTCATCAAGGTTTAAGGTTGCATTTGCCACAAGTGAGGTCCAATCTTTATGACCAGGTTTTGCCAGTAGCTCTATGCATGAGGGAGAAAACGAAATCACTGTGTTTAGGCAGTAGGAGCAGTGTCAGCAAAGTGCTCTGGTGCAGACAGCTCTACTGACAGAAGAGACCTTTCCGCTGCTTGGCTAACATTGTTTGACAAAGGTGGTGTTGCCCTGCTGACAGAAAGACTCTTCCTTCTGGAGCAGACTTCATCCCACCAGGGGTTCTCCCATCTCTCACACTGTGTCACAATGGCATTGCTATTTCTGCAGAGGCCTCCAAGACAGATGGGCCCCAGGAAGACTTCAAGCAAATTTCAAAGCCAGGATTCTATTTGGAACTAGGAGAATTCAGAAAAAACTGTAATTCCCAGCACAATCCAGCAGCTGTGGGCTGTAAAGGGGCATTAAATACCACAAGATTCCTCATGAAACCACTTAAGTTAGCAATACCAATTTTCTGCCCAAACTCCTGTGCTATGTTGTGGTAAGGCAAAAAATCCCTGCCTTCTCCCTGCTGGTGGATGCCAATTTTTTTGACAAACTGCATCAGATAAATGTGAAAGCTTTGGAACATTTTTTTTTTACACAGAGCAAAACACCCCTCAAGAGATGCGGGGGGGGGGGGGGGGG